TTCCCCAGCCAGGCTGGCTGGGGGATTCTGGGAGTTGAAGTCCACTCATCTTAAAGTGGCCAAGTTTGGGCAACACTGACTTAGAGGGAAGGGAAGGTGGCAGACGGTAGGTTCCAACTTGGACCACAAATGTTGCAGTGACGTTTCAAGGCCAAAAGAATCGTGGCCCGGTGGCAGAGACAGCATATGCCAGAAGCTGGTTCAGACAAGATTTTGATTTTAACTGTTTGATTTTTTAAAAATGGCTTTGCAATTTTTCGTCTAGCTGCATTCCTAAATGTTCACTTGCCATAAATTGAGGCCAGTGTTTTTACACTTCTACTCAGATAAGGTTGTTGAAAGAGACCCGGGCTGTTTTTATCCCTAATCATAAACTCTGCATCTGCTTCTCACATCCAGAGGGACTAGGGAAGATGGAAAGTTTCTGAGAGGCTTACCCGTAGGGTTGTATGTTTCTTCATTTCTTGGGTGTGGACTGTTTACCCATTAATGGCTATTTTTAGCATGGCTGAGTATCGCCTGGGAATAGTTATTAACTAGATAGGCAAACCAGATTTGGACATCTTAACCTATGTGTCTAAAAAGTAACTTCTATTTTTCAAGAGAGCATTACAATTTCTGAACATCCATTTGAAGAACGAATAGTGCCTTCCTTTCTCTGACCTCTCTCTGTATGTGTTATAATTGGCATTTTTTTCATAAGTGAAGGCAGTCCTTTGATTGCAGCAATCCTCTCATTCTCTGGAGCACTTTGGAATCCTTTTAGAGTTATGATCGAACATCTCCAGCCTAAAGATAACTCACCTTTCCCTTTTGTGTCTGCACTTCTCCTGAAGCCCCTACAAGTTTCTTGCTCTTCAGTCAGAAGAACGCAATCAATCGTATGGTGATCGACGAGTTGCAGAGTCCAGATATCATGCTTCCAATCCACAGCCTCCGAAATGTTCGGGCAATCGACTATGACCCGCTGGAGAAGCAGCTGTACTGGATCGACTCGCGGCAAAACATTATCAGAAAGTCGCAAGAGGACGGCAGTCAGGTATCCGAACGAGGGCTGTTCAATTTTGCAGAGAGGGACAAGAAGAAGAGCAGCTGTCCTCTTACTGGGCCGGTGTTTCAAACACTTTGTAAACGCTGCTTCTTGGGTAACAGAATCTGCTGGTTGTTAAAGTGATAGACGGAGATCAGCTGAAAATAGTAGGAGCATCTTAAGTTTGGGTTGGGGAGGCAAATTCAGCGTTGACCTTAATTTTGTGGGTAAAGATCCAGTCAAAATGCATGAACAAAACTAAAAGAGAATCTACAGGTGGGATTACGACATAAACTATTTGTCAGCACTTGAATTCGTGTTTTTTGACAGTCAAGGAAGAGAATTTTCAAGCAATTGTTCAACTTTTCTTGAGATTTATTTATAAGACTTATATATGTGCCCATCAGTCTTATGTACCATAATCCTAGGTGGCTTACAAAACAACTAAAAAGATCAAAGCAGTCTAGTGTTCACATTTCTGGGGACTTTTTTCCCTTTTTTTTAATATAAAGTATGTATGATATACAGTGTTTTTATACTGTTAATTGTAGGGTTTGTCAATATTTTCTTAACGTGGGAAGTTGAATTTGATTCCTTTTGCACCATTATGTTGCTATCACTCTTACTATCTCTTGTTTGTTGAAGAAGAAACAAAAATAATAAACTTTTTAGTGTCCTCCTCCACCACTGACCGTGGTGCATGATAGCTGGTGGGACTCTCTAAAATATTTTTCAGGGTGCCAGGTTGAGAATGGCAGAGTTATATAATTTGTCCCACGCTGAGTAGCTCTGTGTCAAGTTCTGATTTCTTTCTGATGGGCTCCTTGAAACAACCTGCATCTTACACCTTCATTCCAGAGTTTTACAGTTGTGATGAGTCCTGTTCCCAACCAAAATACAGATATCCAGCCATATGATCTGAGTATTGATATCTACAGCCGTTACATTTACTGGACTTGTGAAGCCACAAATGTCATCAACGTCACACGCCTGGATGGACGGGGGATGGGCGTGGTGTTGAAAGGTGAACAGGATAGGCCTAGAGCTATTGTTGTGAATCCAGAGAAAGGGTAAGTGGGTTGCAAGGTGGAAAATGCATGCTTAAAACTTCCAAACATTCCAGCTCCAGATCCTTTTATTTCTTGACTTTCTCCTAGTCTTGCTTTCTGTTGGGCCACATCAACCATTTTTTGATGAATGCTTTAAGGAACACCTGTATCAAGATAAATCCTGTGGTGATAACATTCAAATTTTAAAATGTGCATTAGCTAAACAAATAAAACACTGATGTATGCCTTTAATGGTTGTGCACATTTTAGTTCAGATGTGTCAATCATGAGGAAAAGCAAGGAGCAACTCAAGGAATTGATGCTGTTCTTTTGACTTCTGGAAACTTCAAGAAGCATTAACATTTAGGAAGCCAGGAGAGGGAGAAGGGAAGACAGTGAATGAAAAATTAAAGGCCTTTTGATCCCTCTCCAGATTGTCAGATATAAAATAGTGGGAGTTGTTTATTACTTTTCTAAGTTGCTGAACAGCCACCGTCCTTGTGGTGACACTAATCAATGTTTAGGAACGATTTGACCTCATGTCTTTGTAAACAACTGTATCTGCTTTTAAAAACTAAAATGTTCTCCCTACTAGAAAGGGAAGGGGGGGAAAATCCAGTAGTTGGTGGATTTTTAAGCTCTAGTTAATGAAATGTACTTCATTAATGAGAGCTTACAATTATGTACGCAGTCATAATTAACAGACTAAGATATTAACTGCTTTTTAACATGAAGCTTTTCTGTTCATATTTTTCTAATATACTAGTGCAATTATTAAAAAAAAACAACTGAAAGAATATCTGTGTTTCAAACTTTGACCCATAATTAACCAATACCATCAAAACCTGTAGTTTTGGAAAATTTGAAGCAAACTTCCTTGCTTTTTCATTTTAAAGAAAATTAAAAAGTTGAGTTCCATGAATTTTCCATGTAGTTTCTTTGGCAACGGTGTGCGATTGCCTCTTCCAGGACCTTTATTCAACCTCGAGCCTTAGATTTTCTGGTGGCCTCTCATCCAGGTACTCACCATAGTTAGCTGTTTGAAAATCAGCTGCTTGCTGCTATCTGTCGTGACTTGTTTACTTAGTGTTCTCTTACCTGCATCGACGTGCAGTCCTAATGATACTGAATCTGCCGATTTAGCTGGGGAACAGGATAGAAGAGACCATCCATGAAATGACTTGATTTTCTTTCATTCTGCAGGTACATGTATTTCACCAACCTCCAAGAGAGGTCTTCTCCTAAAATAGAAAGGGCAGCATTAGATGGGACCGAACGAGAGGTCCTCTTTTCCAGCGGGCTGAGTAAACCCGTTGCCTTGGCCATTGACAGCCACTTGGGGAAGTTATTCTGGGCAGACTCTGACCTACGGAGAATTGAGAGCAGCGATCTTTCAGGTAGGATAAAGGCCCTTTCCATTAACCCCTAATTAATAGCCTTTTGTATCTTCCTTTGCAAAATCAAGCCAGGTTGCAAACTGATGGTTAGGAGTGTTGTATACTTCAGTGTTTTTTCCTTTTACATTTTCACTTATCCTTGCCATGTAGCAGTTTCCAGGCAGGGCCAAGTTCTTACTGCTCTAATCTAAGAACACAAAGGCACTAAGGTAGTTTGGTTCATCTATACAGCCCGCATTGCCTTGTCCCTTATCATGGTGTAATTGCAGCTCCTCCATGGATGATTCCGAGTTACCTTTGTAACATCTTGCGTGTTCCTCGTAGATTTTTTTTTTTACCGTGGCTCAAATTGGTGCACTACCTATTATAGAGAAAATAGGGAAATACACTGGTCTCCTGTACAAGGACCACACGTGCGTATGTGTTCTGATACAGAAGTTGAAGCAGTAACCCATGTGTTGTTAAACTGGCCAGAATAATTGCCCAGAATAACCATGGCGTTTGGTGCTCTTAAACCCAATTGTCAGAAATACTGCCTGTCTTTCTGATCAAGAGGTTACAATCTTCCTTCTGCAACTTCGGCAAGCACTAAAAATGCTGTCAGGTTTTCACCAATAGGTATGGCTTGCAGAAGTCATTGGGTACCCTCTTTTTATTCTTAATTGTTTCAGGTTTGGTTTTCCTGCACTTTAAATTTTGTGCCTGTGTTTTATTGGTTTGGGAAGTCCATGATGGAGAGTTCAGTTTCTAGTGACACCAACTAGAGCATTAGAAACAATTTCTGAGCATTCTGGGGTTAGGGTGGGGTTCTCTGGTTCGGACCCTACAGAACAGAGCACCTGCTGTGGGAGTTCCACCATCTTGTGACTGCAAGGTGCAATCCTTTGCCTCCCCTGGCAAACTGGGTGATCTCAGGCAGCATCCTTGAATCTGCTTCTCGTGTTTCCAATTGTCATCATCCAGAAGTTCAGAGAAAAAAGATGCTGGATTCCTTATTGTCACATGTTGCATTTCAAGGTGTAGGCTTCCAGAAAAACTCTTAGTGTGGCTGTAAAACTGTCCATTGTCCAGTCTACCCCTGAAGTAATCTGTCTGCTCTGTAATTGCAGGATTTCATTCAGTGTCAGGGTTCTGACATCACACTTTAACTATCTAAACCCAACTTAGCATGGCCTTGAATGTTGTAGAAAGCCAGACAGTGTTCCTGAAACTGCACTGGTTGTAGGAAACCTGGAGAGAAGATATCTGGAAAATTGAACTAAATTGTCAATTGCGGCAGTTCTACCTTAACTTTCTCCTCCTGGTCCCAGGAAAGTTTTTCCTAATAGTGTACAGAGGCAGTTTGGGAGATCTTAAACAAACTGATGTTTAATCCAAATAGGGTTGTGCTTTCCTGGGCCAAATTCACAGCTCTCTGGTAGAGTATGACAACCTTCAGGAGGAGGTAGGGACAACTTGCAGTTTTCATGCCTAGGATGGAGAGAAAGTCTTCAGACTAGCCGTGCTTCATGCTTAGGAAACTTGGTCTGTTCTGCTCTCTGTTTCCCCAACATAGAAAAGAAAGTAACGTGTGGGCAAGGTTTAGAGAATTGAGAAGCTGAGATTGAAAGCTCTTTTCCTCACCCTGTGTACCTGTTTGGAAAGGGGGAGAGCTACATAAATTTTACTGGATTCACGACTTCGACATCATCTGTGCACTTCATCCTTTCACTTGGGATCAGAACACTGAGTTAAGTCCTCTCAAGCTCAGATGTGGAGGACCTATAGTTTGCTAAATGTTGCTAAGCTTCAACTCCCAATATCTTCACCAGTGCTGGCACTCTACTCTTTACTTACATATAGTATTCTCCACCCCTGCTTTCCTTACAGATAGTGACTTACATTCAGTCGCAAGAGCATTTTTGCTAGGGCTCTTGCTCTTCTCTTTTTTTCCATATGATAGAGCACATTTGGGAGTCGTAATTTGGGGCTTCTGGAAGACTTTCACTCTGTGGTTAGAAAATTATTTCTTGTGGTTTGGTTTGATGAGAGTTGGAGAACCTTACAGCTATAGTGGTGGGAGAGCTGGAACCATATAACTTGATTTTCCTTTCAGAAAAAGCTCCCGCTTTCATCAGTGCCAGTCTAGGAAGTTGGGATCTCTTCTTCAATCAATGAGTCAGAATTGCAAACCAGTTCCCCTTCTTGGTTAGGAGTGGCCCCAGTGATTCTTCAAGTGCCCCCAATTCTACCCAGAATAGAAGATATTATAGAATAAGACAATTCCTGGAGTTTGGAGGGGGAGTCTTCTGGACTCTGCTCTGTCTGTGGAAGAACAGGTGTTGATAGTAGCAAAAATGTCTTTATCAGACTAGCAGGTGGGATACCTGGAGAACGCAGACCTTTCTTCACACATATTCTCATAATGGCCTGGCTAGGACACTACAGTGATCCTGCTTTTTCAGAAACTAGAGACTTCACGTGTTTCAGTTTTTTACCTCAGTTTAAAACACTGTGATTTTTACTCTTCTAAACCCATCTTACTTGGGGATGGGGTTTGTCTCTTCTGGTATGAAACTTTGGTATCAACCCTGAAACATCTGCTTTGGGCTCCATCAGAATGACAGGCATCACTAGAAAGAATTGTTTTTCCCAGGGATGATCCCATATCTCAAAGCAGGTGTAGTTCCATTCAGATCAGTTTGAGACCCATGTTAAACATACCTTTCTTTCACTCTCTGTTGATATGCATGCTGACCCACTTAAATCAGCAACTTTTATTGGTTTGTAGTCCGTGGTAGCTTTGATGCCCTGAATCTGATTAGTCAACTTTTAAAGTCACAGGAGGTATACGTCGCATCTTGTGACTGGATGTTCCATCAATTAAGTATCTCTTATGCTAATTACATTTTCTTTGTGTTGAAACTTCTGGCAATCGGCTCCAGAGACGTTGCATTATTAGAGTAGGAGAGAAATCTTTTGTAATCTTTTAAGTTTCCAAATATAAACATTTGAAATTTGCTTACAGCTGCTGTGGATTTCATCGAGCACCTTCAGCATCACGACTTAGTCATCCCACAGTAAGATTTAGTCACAGCATAGGTGAAGTTAAAAACGTTCTTTTTGTTCTGTTTCTCTCCTTTTTTTCCCATTTCAAAGGTGCAAACCGGGTAGTATTAGAAGATTCCAACATACTGCAGCCTATAGGACTGACCGTATTTGAAAAATGGCTCTACTGGATCGATCGCCATCAACAGATGATTGAGAAAATTGACATGACTCGCCAAGAGGGACGTACAAAAGTTCAGGCTCGAATTGCTCAACTCAGCGACATCCATGCCGTTAAAGAACTCAACATGCAGGAGTACCGTAAGTGTTCCACCCTATCTGAAGGAAGAACTTCTCTTCTTAAAAGTTACCTCTCATAAAACAGCCTCCCTGTAATTTATTAGCTGGGGAATTCTGGGAGTTGAAGTCGACCCATCTTAAAGTTGCCAAGTTTGAGAAACGCTGGTCTCAAGGATCCTGATGCTTAATTAGAAGACTACCACTTACAGTGGACCCCCCACAAAAGCATTAGATTTGCAGCTTATTTTTATTGTCTAACTTTCTCAGAAAGGAAAGTGTGTCAGTAAGTTTCTGAAATGAAAAGACGACCGCTTAAGCCTCTTTGGATCCCACAATGACCCGAGAATCTTCCTAGATATTTAATTATGCAGAGATGGCTTCACATTTCTGGAAGATACCAGGACATTGAAAAGAAGTTCCAGTGCTAAAGTTCGCCCTTATGTTCGCCCTTCTAGCTTGAATAATTTTTTACTTTCCAAACAATTACTGATCCCGGAGAGGCAGCTGATTTTCATGGAGATTTTCAGCCACTCTTGGTTTCTTAGAAGGTGGCTTGAAAGCCATAGTTCCCTGATTAAAAAAACAAGCAAACAGATGTCTGATACCTAAAATATCATTTGTGAATGCTGCTCCTCTTTCAGGGCAGCACCCCTGTTCCCAAGATAACGGTGGCTGTTCTCACATCTGCATTATAAAAAGCGATGGAACTACCCGTTGTTCCTGTCCCATGCATCTGGTCCTTCTTGAAGACGAACTTTCCTGTGGAGGTAAGACTCTTCTTTTTTAAGGTATTCTTGATATCTGTAGAAATTAATACCTCTGGCAAGGGCAGGGGGGCTGTTTTCCTTTTCTATTTTTATCCACTTTTGTGTGTGCGTGCATCTTGTACTGATGTTCAGAAATCCACAACGTGACCATCTGAATTCTGCAAATTGCAAGGCAGATGGTCTTGCAATTTGTGGTGCAAGGCCAGGGTGCCGGAGGAAGAGTCATGTTCAAGTTCCACCTTCCTGTGCAGATCATGGGGTGCCTTTGCGCTGAGGGCACCTCCTTCACTGGGTGTGTGTTGAGATGAAGTGAGCCAATGATGCTCCTGGAGAAAAGAAAGGATTTAAATGGAGGACTGTTGATGCCCGTTTGGTGACTTTTGTTTAGATTTTTTAATCCTGCCTTATTTTTATAAATAACTCAGGGCAGTGCACATACCTAATCCTCCTTCCTCCTCCTATTTTCCCCACAACGAGAACCCTGTGAGGTGAGTAGGGCTGAGAGAGGGACTGGCCCAAAGTCACCCAGCCGGCTTTCGTGCCTCAGGCAGGAGAAGAACTCACCGTCTCCTGGTTTCTAGCCTGGGGGCTTCCCCACTAGACCCAAGTGGCCTCCCCCTCCCCCTC